ATGTAGAGAACGGCGCCGGAAGCGCTGTAAGACTAAAAGGTGTCGAGACAGAAGAAAAAAGCGAAAAAAGGGCAGTAAGAAAGAGAGGGGCAGCGGCAGAAGAAGGTCGCGGGAGCGGGCGGGCGAGAGCGACCCGACGACGGAGTCCCCCGCCGTCGAGACGGAGGCGCCGCCAGAAGCGGAGAGGCAGGAGGAGCGGGCGAGGGCCGTGTCGAGCCGACCGAGGCACCGCCACGGCGCCAACGCAAGCCGGACACACCAAAGAGCGCCCCGCCGCCGAAAGCCGTCCCCAGTCGCCAGACGCCTCCGCCACTACCGCCTCTCCACGCCCTCGCCCTCCTCCCCCGTCTCCCTCAGTCCCCTATCTGCTCACAAGCCAACTAGAAGTCCTGCTCAGCCCTGGGTGGTCACCCTCACGCCCTCCCACTCGCAGCCCTTTCCCACGGCGCCCTCGTCCGCCCCCGCGCACCACGTCCGCCACGCCCACAGTGGACGGCGGCGGCGGCCACGGGGGCCGCTCACCCCTCCCACCTCAACTACTGCTTAGTGTATATACTTCTGCTATACCATTCTTCATGTATATAATCGTAAATAATATCTGTAAATACATAGAATACCAACGTATGAAAAAGGTCCATCAGAAGGGGACTTAATTTATTTGATCTTATTTATTGTTCGTTAAAAAAATTCCCCCTGGAATCAAAGGTCCACCAACAATGTATGCGCTTGTCAATCTTAGTCAGTGTGTGAGAACTGGAGGGAAGTGTGAGATACACGTCAAGTGCTGGCTGCCGTCGACGCAGCCAAGAGATGGTGCTACCTAATCCTACCATGTGCCATACACTCGTCCTACTGCAACTTAAGTACTTTATCAGTGGAGATGTCATTTACCATATGTAATGCAACATATCAGTGTCCTAGGTCAGTTATTATGTGACTCCGTGTTGAACTAACAAGTTAGTTTGGAAGGAAAGTGTGCCATAATGGAAACCACTCGAGTTAGGACTTGAAACGTGTTGCCATATACAAGCAGTTGTCATTACGTGGCTATAGACTTTCGTGGTGTCCCACGTCTGAATTATGAAGACTATTTATGTGAATGTCTTCAACATAAAGGACACGTTTGTCTCCGTTCGTAATGGAGACTATTTAGTCAACCAGTTAATAAGAAGTATTGGTCGTCATCGGTGTTGCAGCTCTTTGGGTCTCTACTTCGTGTGGTTAGTGTGCAGTGGCGGTCCTCTGGGTATAAAATGAGCAAGCCTTTTCAATGGAATTATTAGTGATGTTTAAAATAATGACAAAAATAGATTCGTTCAAAATTAAAGTAATTAGTGAAGCTCATTGGTCACTACTTTAACTCCCATGTTGCAAAGGGGGTACCGCCACTGTGATAGAAAGACCTTAGATGCCGTGTCTTCTTTAAGAGCCAGAAACACATTATTTGCAAGATGCATGACTTGTCACAGCCATGGTGCTGATGACCAGTCCGTCTGGTCAGAGACTATTTGTACTATCATTAGCACAGGTAGTCAGGAAAAGATTGAATGCTGGTCTCTAGTACAATGATCCTTTGACAGTTTGCAACAGCGGATATACAAGAACTGCAAACTCAAGTGTTCATGTCTACAAGAGTGCAATGTATACCTTCACTCGTCTACAGCAAGTACAGAGTGTCCCAGCAACGACCGCAATGGCTCTGATCGAAGACCTGCTACTCCGACAAGACCAAGCCTCCTTGTATCTTCTGTTGCTCACAGTACAGCACTGCAGAGTAGCCCTCGTGCTACTTTTGTCCAGGGCTGTGTGGTCTGGAGGCTATTTTGCTCACTTGGCATTTGTACCACGCCTGATGAGGCCGCTCAACCCAGGCACGGCGGCTGCTGCTCTTCGGGATGCCATATTTCAGGCGTCGAATATTTGGGGCTTCAAATACTGAGCGTCGCGGGCAGGGCCGGACGCTGATCGCAGACGAGAAGCAGACTTGTGGTGCGGTCCGTTGCAGGCGATGTAACGAACCAGCGCCCCTTAGAACCCAAGAACCGCGTCAGCCACCTCTGCCCGCACGCCCCAAACAGCGCCCAGGTGCTGGTGTTGTCACTCACGGGCAGAGAGGGATCCAGTACTCTCTTCTACCCGTATCCACCTGGGCTGACCCTCCTCCAGTCTAGTCACATATGTCTCTTGAGGGTCAGCCTGGCTCACAGAACGTCAGCTGCCTCCCTTGCCTCTCTGCCTCATTTACCAGCTAATTAGCATAAGAACAAATTATTCCGTTATATGTAATTCATATACTTTATGATGTTCTAAATTTTTTGTACTGAATATGTAAAATTTTTAGCATGATTTGTAATCATCTTGCTGAAGTTGCACTTTTAATACACATACTGTACTTTTTCTCTTCTCAAAAGTGTTCACTGCTGTCCCAGCAGGCCTACATTAAGCATCAGTATTTTTCTTGGGGAACTAACTGCATTTAGAACAACACAATGTTGTTCCT